GTTGAAAAAAAAAGAAAAAAAAATTCCCCGTGTAATAAGAGAACCAGATGTATTTCGATAGATATTACGTTATCTATTTATTCGTAGAATGTTTCGAATGATTATTTCTAATAGATAATCATATTTTTTCTTTTTCTTATACGATAGGATAAAAATCATGACATCAAAATCGACTGACTGGGTTAGTAGGCCTTGATTGACCTAAATGGTGTTTACCGACATCGTGATTTTTTTTCCAAACGAACGTAATATATATTTTAGGTAATAAAAACGAAGATGATCATCGTTCAACGATAAGAGATAATCGGGAATTGACGAATAAATTGTTTATCAAATTGATAAAATCTAAGAGATAAAGAATAGATTCTCTCTTTTTTTTCTTCGAGGATTTTAGGCCACCCCAAAAAAAAAAAGAATTAAAAATATGATATCAACGTAATCAACATTTTTGATTGATTATAACACATTCACTTAAATGTCATGTGCAATATATAATATATTATATATAATATATAGTGTGTATATATATATATATATATATATATATATATATATATGTCAAAGAAATCATTTTTAAAATCCACTTATTTATATATTTTTGAATATTATTTACTTATATTATTTATATTATTTGTCAAAATTTTCATGGAATAAATTTGTAAGTAAGAGTGACCAGTAGAGCGAGGAGAAGGGTGCAAAGGGTAGAACGAGAAAAAGAAAAAAAACGATTAACGTATCTCTCATTAGATACATGTACCTTAGCGCGTGTGTGTAAGTCTCTCTCTCTCTCTCTCTCTCTCCCTCTTTCTATGTATGTGTGTATGTGCATGTGCGTGTGTATATGTTACTGCTGTGTGCGTACGTGTACAGAATATTTTGCGAGCATGAGCGAGTTATCGAGTTATTTATATGTTTATGTAACACAAGCGGCATTTCACTTGGCTACTCTGGAGCTCGCGGGTTTTCCACTTATGTTAATACCACGATCGGTATTCTGTATTAAATAAACGTAAGTAACACGATAACTCGATTTCGTGAATGCCACGAAAGAACACGAGTGTCACTCTACCTTTTACGATCTATGAATGTATATATATGCATGTACGTGTATATATATATGTGTATATATATATATATATATGTGTATGTGTATGTATATGTATATGTATATGTATATGTATATGTATATGTATATGTATTGTCTATATAGAAGTAGGTAAACATTTCTTTCGTTCGTCTCTAGCTTCTGCGTACGTTGGTAATTTTCCATATGAAATAATGACGTCTGGGTGTACGTTTAGAGCTTGGGGAAAAAAAAAGAAAAAAAAAAAAAAAAAGAAAAAAAAATACGAAATATCAACGAAACGTTACTTAGAATTAGATAACAGAGTACAATTTGATGTGTATCCATAGATAGATGCTTTACAAAATCAATTATCGTGATCAATCATTGATTAATAAGATTTGTCAGCCATTTTATTTTGAAGTCCTTGAAAAAAGAAACAAAAAAAAAACAAAAAAAGAAATAGTAAAAGATACGTATCAATGACGTGTAAATGTATTAACCTTTTGATTCAGAGTCCAACGTGACTGATTAAAAGAATCTATAGCGATGGGTATCGAATGTGCGAAAGGAAGGAAGAAAAAAGAAAGAAAAAACAGAAAAAGGGCGGGAGAACGCAGTTTTGATAACGAAAGCCGATTTATCATACCTAACGCGAAGATAACGTTCCTCGTACGAGATGATATCGATTATATTGTATTCTTTCTCTCTCTCTCTCTCTCTCTCTCTCTCTCTCTCTCTCTCTCTCTCTCTCTCTCTCTCTCTCTCTCTCTCTCCTCTCTCTCTCTCTCTCTCTCTTTTCTCTTTTTTTCTTTCTTATCATCTTTTATCCGTCTTGTATTGTGTACGTTTTTTTTTCCCCTTTTTTTTCTTTTGTGCGATCGCGCGTGAAATTGGCTCGCATCGCATCGCTCTCTCTCTCTCTCTCTCTCTCTCTCTCTCTCTCTCTCTCTCTCTCTCTCTCTCTCTCTCTCTCTCTCTCTCTCTCTCTCTTTCTCTCTCTTTTCTTTTTAATTTTTCTTCTTTTAAAGATTCGTAAATGCGATATCGGATGAAAGCCGATCGAGAGACTCTCTCCTTCTTAGATTGCTTTCTTTCACCGGCTTTCCGAAGAAATGTCGCTTTAAATGGAAGCGTTGTCCTGTTCTGGAACAAGAACTGGACAAATACGAGATATATTAACGAACTAAGCGATCGAAACTTTCGCCGATTAGATTCAATATGGACCAGATCTTGATCTGGACTCGTCTATTATCTCATTTCTTTTCTTTTTTTTTTCTTTTTTTTTTTTATTTTCTTTTTTTACTTTTCTTTTTCTTTTTTTTAAATATTTTTCACTATTTTTAATTATTCCACTAAGACCTTATAAAGAGTGCAATTCGTATCCACTTTTTTTAACGTGGAAATATAATTAAACTATACTAAGCTAATTTCGTT